TTTTTTTCTGTCTTCCAAGGCTGGACTCTAGAGTGATGGATTCCCTGTCTAGAACTTGTAAAGCTAATTACTCTAGCCTTTACTTCTCCTTCATATCTCCTATAAGTGATTCAAGGACTTTCAGTGGGAGTCTTTTAGATAGATCCACTGCAGGGGTGCTCCAAGTGCCTCACCCTGCGTCCCTATTCAGCATGGAAGAAGCCAAGAGTGGTCTGCGTCCCTATTCCCTATTGGCAATTTGGGTAACCCCTTTAGAGGATGGTGTGAAAAGAATAGGATGTAGGAATTTGTTAGGCAGTTAGGGTAAAAGGACCCCAAAGAAAAGTAGCCAGTTTCTTGGCTAAAAGTCAAAATGTCCTTAGGCCTCTTAGTAACATACTCTGTTCCAAAGGCCAAAAATGTCAAAAATATTTGGGAGCGTGTATCTAATCCTTAAAAGATTTTAGGGTTACCTCTTCAGAGGGGGAAATGTTAGAGTAGCCAAAAGTCCCATAAAAATAAATAAGTAAATCAAAGAAGAATAAAGAGTACATGAAGTTATCAGAAAAAAAAGTGGTGGGGAGATATGGGAGGAGTTAGTGGGCATGGATTTGATCAAAACACCTTATATGCATGTATGAAATTCTCAATAAATTATTTATTTAAAAAAATAAAATAAAATGCAGAGTAACTGAGGGAAAAAAAAGAACTGTTGTTGTATGAAATGTACAAAAGTTCAATAAAAGTTTTTAAAAAGAAAAAAATAAAATGATGGTATAAAACTGACTATAAAAGCCTCATCTGTACAACAGATAGGGGCCCCAGAATCTAATAGCTAATTGTTGCTTAATGGAGACCTCCTGAATGAGTAAGGAATAAACAAGCTTTCTGACTTTCTCCTGGGTGTGTGCTTGGTCTCTTTGCTGTCTGAAGAATTTTCTGTAACAGTAATGAAATCACTGACATGGGGGTTCAGTCCCTGGGAAGACTAAGGCAGGATTAAAGGGTTGGGACTTTCAGACACAACTCTAATATCTGGGATGGGAAAGGAGCTGAAACTGGAGCACTGATGACATAATCATTCCTACTATACAATGAGGTCTCCACAAAACCCCAAAGGGCAGGGTTCAGAGTGCTTTGGAGGAATGGGAAGGAGGTTCCCAAAGGGCAGCCTGTGGAAGCCCCAGAAGTGTTCCTTCCTGAAGGGCCAGTACTGGATATCTCTTCACCTTTACTCCTTGTAATATCCATTCTAAAATATTTTATTATTTTATTCTTATGTGTATGTTTTGCATGAATGTATGTAAGTGCACCTGTTGTCATGCAATGCTCAGATCAAAAGAGAGTGTCAGATCCCTTGGAACTGGAGTTAAGGATAGCTGTTAGCCATTCATGTGGGTGCTGGGAACTGAACCTGGGTCCTCTGCAAAAGCAGCCAGTGTTCTTAACCAGTGAGCCATCTCTCTAGTCCCTGTAATATCCTTTATACTAAACCAGTAAATATAAGTGTTTCTCTGAGTTCTGTGACTTGCTCTTAACAAATGAATCAGAGCCAAGGAAGAGGTTACAGGAACCTGTTGTGTAACAATTTTCTCTGAGGTCAAACAATAAAATGCTTTAAAAGGGAGTAAACAACTCAGTAGTTTCAGGAAGTCCCTAAGACTGAAGGGATTCACTAGGCTTTTCCCTTCCCAAGCATATATAAGTCCTAAGGACTACTGAGAGAAACTTTCAGACCAGTGAAGTGGCCTAGAAGAGGCTCAGACCAACTGAGCTGCCTGTTCAACCTGTTGAGCTGCCTGTAGTTTATGCAGTGAGCTCCAGGTTTCCTGCTTTGGTGAGCTGTGGCTCATACTGGAGTGGGCTTTGGATGATGCAGATGTCTTTGGGTTATTTCTATGCCTATAAGTAATCCCTCACCCATACTCTTGTAAGTAAGCCTAATATGACTCATTGGTTTACCACGTTGGATTTTGCTGGTATCCTTGCTTTGGTCTGTTGTTGGTTTTCTATCTGGGGTGAGTAGACATTTGTTTATGTCTCCTTAGGGATAGAGTCAGCCAACAGAACCCTGACTTCCAGTCAGTCAGAAGCACAGATAAAACAAGCTGGGCTTACAAGTGGCATTGGAAGTGCTGGGGGCAGACTGGGGGACCTAGTCTATAATCCATCTTAAGGTGAGTAGCTGGAGTCATAAGTGAAGTGAATGGAAGTGAGTCTAGCTAGGGTCTGCTGCAGCAGCATTCCTCATTAGTAGTGTGAGTACGTAAGAGGGGAAAGTAAGCTCCAAAGGTAAGCACCCCTTAGGAATGAGAGACAACTCCAAGCATGCTGGAAAGCAGTTGGACTTACAGGTTCTTCCATGTTGAGGACCGCAGCAAATATCTTGTCTATGGCTATGCTGACACCGACAGCAGTGGGAACTGGCCCCAGAGCCTGTGGACCTCTAAACTTGGGAATCTGTGGACAGACCAGAGTTCTGGTTATGGAACAGAGAAGAAACAGATTATAAGGAAAACGAGTAAAAAGGCAAGCTCTCAAAAGCCTGGCATAGTGTGCATGCCTATAACCTAGCAGGTGGAGTCGGGGTTGGGACTGAGGCAGGAGCTTCTGAAATTAAATGATAATGATTAGGGGTTCAAGACCAATCTCCGCTACATGATGAATCTGAGGCCAGCCTGGGCTACATGAGCCCTTGTCTCAAAACAGAACAAAATAAAATAATAAGTAAAAAGCAAGCTCTATGCCAGAAACTTAATGGGTACAATAACGACAAAGACATATGAGTGTATGAAGATAAAGAAGCAAGCGTGCATGCAAACTTAGGAAAATTAGTAACACATGCTGCATCTCGAACTGTATGGTTCGGTATGGTAGATAGTAACAACATGTGGCCACTGAGCATGTGAAATGTCCAGATTGACATGTGCTGCCAAGTCCCAAAGAGAAAAAGGGAACACAATTTTTAGGACCTGTTGAATTAATACTTTGGATATAACAGGGTAAATAAAACGCACTACTAAAATTAATCCTGTCCATCCCTTGATTTACTTCACATTACTAGGTAATTTAAAATGGTCTATGTAGGTTCTCGACCAGGATGGAGTAGGTGTACATTTCTCTACTGTTTCTGCTGAGAACGCCTAAAAATCCTGCCACATAGCAACAAACAAGACTGAACATGGGCAGAAGACAGACTGGCCAGGGACCACAGGATCTGAGGAACAATACATGGGAAATTCCCTGGGTTTGCCCTTGTTTGTGCAAAGAGGAATAGGTGTGAAAGCTGCCAGAAAATCTGTTCTTTTTGGGTGGAAGGCCCAGGGGCAACCCAGCAAGCCAGCAAATGTTTAGATAGTAACTGCCTTGTACTAGCCAAACATCCCGACAAAAAGCACCAGGCCACCAGCAAAGGGTGAGTGTGGAGCCCAGGCATTTACCCTTCTCCAGATATAACGAGGCCCCTCCACTTGAAAACCAAGTGCACATCAGACTCAGGGTGATGCCCAACACCTCCCAGCAGTGCCAGTAGGAGTCAGGATCCCCAGGATTCAGGACTTCCACCCTTGCCTAAGCTTCAATGAGGCATCCCTCCCTGCTGAGAGGGAAGCTGGGATTTTACTGCTATCCATCAGAAACTCCCATCAGATCCTTCACTCAAACCACAGTATGAGTGGATACTTCTAGGAAGTGGTGACCAGGCACTCTCCCATCTGGGGTGTGTAGAAGGAGGCAGAGGGAGGAACCTGGATCTTTATTCCCTATAACTTGACAGCACACACACACACACACAGAACTCTGTCCACACCAGAGGAACCTGCTGAACAGAAGACCTAAGTGACTCCACAGCCCCCAAAGACAAGAATCCAGAGAAAATCATGCAGCACATGAAGAAGGTCCCATGCTGAATGGGAAAGACAACACACACTAACACCAAGATCATGTGGGTGTCGGGATTATCTTAAAGCAGTGACCATAGAGACACCTCAGTGTACGTTATGAAAAGAAGTGGGGATGAGAACGTCACTGGATGAGCTCAACATCAGGATGGAGACAGATTCAGTGGAACCGAGATCAACAACAGAAAGCACTTAACCTGAATGACAGAAAAAGTGTGTGAAGCGGAATGCGCCAGAACCCCTGGAACAAACCAGTGATATCACTTCTGTGTCCCAGGAGTCCTTCAAAGAGGAAAAAGCAGGGTGAGATTTCACAAACAAATCCAAACAAAGCATGTCTAAAAATTCCCAGGACTGGCAAAAGATAGAAGTCTATGGATTTAAGAAAAAAGCTGAGAAAACCCCCAAAGGGATAAATTCAAAAAACTCATGCCTAGGATATAATTTACTTTCAAAGGGCAACGTTTAGCACTGTTTGATGTGGATCTCCATGTATAGAGAAGTATTTAAGACACTCCCCGACACAGGGCCTGGGCAGGTGAGGCTGCTCTTCCTTTCATCTATGCTGACACTCAGAAGCTAGTAGAGTTCTACGTTTAACAGCTCTGTCTTGACTGCGGCTGTGGTTATAGGAGTCTGCACATGATAAAATGGCATAAAATAATTCAGTGTGCCCATGCCAATTTCTATTGTGCCCATGCTATTCTATGGTTGAGTTAGAACCATAGGAGGAAGAGACGTTTCTGTACTATCTTGGCTATTCCCTATAAACCTCAAATTGCTATTAAAAATTATTATTATTATTATTATTATTATTATTATTGTGTGTATGCATGTGGAAGTCAGAGGACAACTTCGTGGAGTCGATTCTCTCCTTCTACCTTTATATGGATCCAGGGATTGAACTCATGGATTGAACTCAGGCTTGCACAGCAAATAAATGACTTTACCTACTGAGTCATCTCACTCGCATTTTAAAATTTATTTTTCATTGGTATATATTCATTGTACATAGTACTGTGTTTCATAAAGACTATTTTATGTGTATGAGTGTTTTGCTTGCATGTATGTAAGTGCACAATGTGCAAGTAATGCTCGAAGAGGCCAGAGAGGGCATCAAATCCCCTGGAACTGGAGTTACAGATGGTTGTTAACCTCCATGTAGGTGCTGGGAACTGAACCTGGGACCTCTGTAAGACCACCGAGTCATCTCTCTAGCCCTTCATAAGGACATTTTTATATAAGTATACTTTGACTATGCTACCTACACCATATCCTCTCTACTCTCTTCTCTCCTATTTTAGTTTTGTTTTTTAAAGACAGTATCATGTAACCTAGACAAGGTTGACCTCACTATGTAGCCGAGTCTAGCTTTGAATTCCTGATTCTCCTGCCTTTACCTCCTAAGTGCTGTGATTACAGGTATGCACCACCAGATCTGGCTGTTTTGTTTTTATGAAACAGGGTCTTACTATGTCACCCTGGCTGTCCTGGAACTTACAATGTAGCCCAGTTTGGTCTTGAACTTGTAGGAGTCCTCCTACCTCTGCCATCCAAGTGCTGAGATTACAGGTGTACATCACTATGCTCAGCTTCACATTGCATTTATATTCTTAGATGAAGGATACAGAGGTATTCAGTTTTATTACTTGTTCAATTTTTTGCATTAGTGTGAAAAATTTTAAAACAGTAGCTGAGGAGAAATAGAATTGAGACAGGGCTAGTAAACAAACACTGGGAGTGTGCTTACCAGCAGGTCGTATCTGCCACCAGCTGCTAGGATTTCAGGCACAGCCCTCTGCCTGCGTCTGCTGAACGCTACAAACTGGAAGATGATGCCGGTGTGCTGCTGTACCTTGTAAACCAAGCCTAGGTTGATCAAGACCTGCGGAGCAAAGGGCGACACAAATGGTCAAGGCTTGAGTTGTGGAATGTGGACCACAGCTGTTCCAATTGTTTAGCACAAACACAAAACTGCCAGCAAGATCTGGCATGATCTGTTGAACTGGACCTGCCAAGTTCTCTCTGCTAATAACCCTCTCTCCAAGACAGATACTACAGGAATTGCTGCATAGCAGGAAAGAGATGCTTGCAAAGAAATCCTGATTTATGCCAAAATTATTTCTAGGGAGCAGAGGCTCCAGAATGCAGAAAGCAGAGATTTTCAGAAAAAAAAAAAAATTCTAGCATTAAGAAAATATAATCCATTTCCCCCCTTGAGCCACTATTAACACTACAGATGCACAGGACAGCTGCCAAACCTGTAACTTTAAGCCAAGTTTCTTCAGCAGTCCCACAACCTCCTCTAGGTCTTTTAAGCCGTACTTCACCAGCTGGGCAACACCTGTTTTCTGTTTTATTAATGAGTTTATTGTTGGCGTTAGGTCTTGCAAATCCCCCTTCTGCTCGATGAACTTGTAGAGTCGACATAGCTGGAAGGCAAAAGGCAGAGTCACGTATTGTACCATAGGAGATAGCTCCTGGTGCACAGTGCTCCCACCCATGGGGTACACAGAGTCTGCACACCTCCAAGAGCTGGGACTTTGTGGTCACAATCCTAAGGATTACCTCCCCACACCCCCCAAACTCTGGCCTAAAGTATCTCAAAGAGATGTTTCAGACACTCAGTCCACTCATTCATACAAACATATAGTGGATGCTAGTCAGTAAAGCAGAGCCTCTATTATATCTTGCTCTATTTATCTTGTTTCTGGTTACCTTCCTGTCTTACTTCCAGTACCACAGGCACACAAGTCTGACTTGTTCGGATAGTAGCTGAATTAGCCAGATTTTCTCCTCTCCCTATGAGCTATCCCTATTGGGAGCCTGAAAACGTTGCCTCCCATGCCTTCATTTCCTCAGCTCACACTGGATGCCAGACAGACTCTGACCATCTCTGTCACTGTTTGTCCCCAAGGAGGGCAGTGCTAGGGATGACCAAGCTGCAACTAAGCTGTTTCAGACACACTAGGAGGAAGAGGGAACAACTACGGACACATCACCAGAGAGAAAACTTGCAGGAGCTGAACTGGAAATATATTAAGACATAAAATTATAGCTATACTTACACTTAGGCAGAGCCTGGTTCACCTATGAATTGGTACACAAAAACTAAGAATTGAATGACAACACAGCTTGACACATTCAGTCAATCATAAATTATATATATATATTTTTAGACAGCCTCAGCTGGCCTGGAACTCTATGTAGACCAAGGTTGGCCTCGATCTCACAGAGATTCAGCCTTTTGAGTGCTGGGACTAAAGGCATGTGCCACCACACCTGGCTGGTCATTTATATTTTTAGAAACCCCAAAGAGTTAAGCTGCTCACTATGTTCAAGATAAAAATTTACATAAGGGCTGGAGAGATGGCTCAGCAGTTACAAGCACTGACTGCTCTTGCAGAGGACCCAGGTTCGATACCCAGCACCCACATGGCGGCTATGAACTGTCCTTAACTCCAGTTCCAGGGGAATCTGATATACTCTTCTGACCTCTGCAGCATTGTATGACACGGGTGTACTCACATACATGTAGGCAATACACTTATACACATAAAATAAAAATGCTAAAATTAAAAAATTTACATAAAAGATCGTGTCTTTGATTGTATCCTTTCCTTCCAGCCTGGTAATGGAGTTCTGTGGCAGAATGCTCTGGGTTTGATCCCCAGTACTAAAAATTTTCAAAATAAAATACAGTTTTTTCTTAATAGCACTTATGTGAAGTCACCCCAATAAAAATCTGCCAGCAATGGAGTTAGTACTTGTAGATTCTGGTCTTTACCCATGTGAATCTGAACAAATCTCAGCATATATTTGGGTTTCCAACAGCTCATCTGTAAACAAAGACTGGGCTGGAAGCTCAGACTCATTTGTACTGACTCTCCCTTTTCTAATGTACCTGGAGTTTTGCTTAAAATAATGAAGGTATAGAATGCTTTTATTAGATCCCATTTTTTCCTTTTAAAACAAATATGCTTCTTTTGCTTAGCATCATCAAAAAGAAGTTGACATTTTAGCAGCTAATGCAGCTATTATAAACAAGTATTTGATATCTGTGAGATGTTTCAAATGTGGCATTAGTTCAAAGAACCTTCTAGGAGTCAGTGAGCTGGATAGCCTCAACCAGGTTCTCAGTGCTTGTTATACCCAGAACTATTTCTACACACAGGGCATATGTAAGCACTGAACAACAAGTTATTGGGTCACTAATATCTCCTCCAATATTAAATATTTAAGGTTTAACCTGGCTCAGTTTTCTCTCTTTTTTTTTTTTTTTTTTTTTTTTTGAGACAGGGTCTCCCTGTAGCCCCAGCTGGCCTAGAACTTGCTATGTAGACTGGGCTAGCCTGGAACTCACAGAGATCCTCCTATTTCCTCTGGGATTAAAGGCATGCACCACCAAGCCTGGCCTCTGGCTCAATTTTCTGAACTCCTGGTCCTGTGTATCTAGGTTGACTTCCCACACGAGAGTGGGTGTTTCAACTGTGGTCTATGTGTACCTGTAAACATTATTTCAGAGAGTGGAGAGTAGATATATGTTGTGCAGATCTCCTGTACTGTCTTATCTATGTCCAGGTACTATGCCTGCAGATGGTAGGCATCCAAAAGAGCAAAAGGCTCTGCCTGGCCTATGTACAATTACATTTTAACTTATCCCACATGTGAATTTTGTTATTGTCAAAGGATAATGTATTAAGTATCAGATCAAGGACTAGAAGGCTTCTGGGAAAGTTAAATAAAATCTTTTCTTGGGGCTGTAGCTTAGTGGTAGAGTTCTTACCTAGCATGCATGAGACCCTGGGTTCAGTTTCTAGCACTGAAAACCAAACCAGAACATACAGCAATCTTTCCTTATATAGATATTCAGGAAAATATACAAAAGTATACTGTTTTCTGTTGTTCAGCCACTAATTTAAATATAGGTTAAACTGGCATTTGTAGAGAATACACAGCCAACCTGCTTACCCTATGTTCTGGTTTGTTTCTCCATTGCTGTGACAAAACACCCTAACCAATACCAACTTGGGGAGGAAAGGGTTTATTTGGCTTAGATCTCCCGGGTTACAGTTCATCACTGAAGAAGCCCAAGGTAGGAACTCAGGGCAGGAACCTGAAGGCAGATGCTGAAGCACAGGCCATGGAGAAACGCTGCTTACTAGCTTGCTCTCCTGGCCCCTGCTCAGCCTGCTTTCATATGCAACACAGGCTCACCTGACCAGGGGTGGCACCACCCACAGTGGGCTGTACCCTCCCACATCACTCAACAATCAAGAAGATGCCCCACAGACATGGCCACAGGCCAGCCCAATGGAAGCAATCCCCCAATTGAGGCTCCCTCAACCCAGGTGCGTCTAGTTGACACTAAAGCTATTCAGCACACCCTATAAGATTTTCCTTATTGTTGATGAGATCAAATATAAGATTTTAGGAGTAGGAATTTTTCCAGGAAGGCAAGAGCTATAATTTGACTCTAAATTAGAGTCAGAAGATGGGGGTGGGTTCAGGGGTACCCAGAGGGCTTCACAGAGTGCCACAGTTCCTTCTGGTTCCCCGCAAACCATTTCAGAAGAGGACAGCTCGGTGCTGGGCCTCAGCAGGAGGCTCTGCCAAGCACAGGCTTTATAACAACTGTGAATGGAAGAATCCGGTGATCAAGAAAAAGTAGAATGATTACAGCATGTGCGGGAGGACACATGGAGAGGCAGTCTTTGATCATAGCATTAGTTTTTCTCTTCTAATCCCCAGGTTGCCATGGCACCAACACTCGGGAAAACTGCATCTGTGAGTGGCAGGAGGAAAGCTGCTACCTCACTGCTAGGATTGGTGACATCTTCTGACATTGCAGAGTCACAGAGCTAGTGGTAATCACACTATCAGAAAGTACTTACACTATTAGAAGACAATGACAGATTGTAAAATTTAGCCTCCACTTCCCTCCTCGTCAGCTTCTCTGTCTGATGAAAAAGAGAAAGGGAACAATGAGACATACCAAATTTGGCCCTGAATGAGATACTGTTTCCAGGCGAATCCTGGCAATTATATCCTTCATCTTGGACACACTGCTCCTGATGCAAAGGGCACATTTAATTCTATGAATAAAGAGCCTTTCCCTTCAAGTCATACGAGACCACAGTGAACATTTTTTAAACTTGAAAATCCCTGACATGACAAAATTAGATTAAGGAAAGCTGCACTTGCTGAACGGGGAGGAGACCCAGCTCTAGACAGGCAGACCCTGGGTATTTCTGTTTCGGTGGAAAAGAGGCATTTTGACTTGTATTCCCCTAAAACCTAGGCTTGAGCATGTCATCCACACTGGCCAGCACTGTGCTGCGGGGAAGAGAGCAGGAATGAGCTGTCGCCCTCCTACATCCAGTCCCAGGGCCGCTGCCAGTGTCCCATCTGCATTCTTCTGTACCCAGCACTGCCAAACATCAAGAGCATTCAGAAGGAGGAAAAACATCCCTAGGAAACTGACAGTAAAGTCTGGACCCTTGAGGTCAAACTGCCAGAAGAATGAAAAGCTGGCCAAGGCTTTGGTATATATACAATTAAGAACTTTGTGATCCATTCTGCATTAACCAGGGACTGTCTGACACTGTTCCCCCAACATACACAATAATTAAAAATAAAAATAAATCTAAAAAACCCACAACTGGTTCTGTCATGTTATAGCAATGAAGAAACAAGATAAAACTCTCAATTTAGTTTTATGGTTGAATGAGTAAGAAAATAATTACGGGCTATTATTACCATCCTTTAACATCAAGTCAAAGTAATAAAATGCTCACCACAGCATCATACAGAATAACATAGACCTGACTGAGTTTATCTTCTGGGATCCCACAGTGTAAGAGTATTGCTTTCAGTAACATTGTATGGTTCAAGTAAATACTGTAATTTCTTTCCTGGAATACAAAGAGGAACTATTATTATTTCCATTATAAAAGCAGTATCAGCACATGACCAAATCTGGAATCTTACCATGAATTTAATATCTCAACACCAAGGAAGGATTGAATTTTAACATCTTCTGTCCTGTTTTCTCATACACACTATCTTTGCAGTGTTTTAGTTGAAGAATATAATACTTATATATAAAAATATACTGGCTAGTCTTTATGTTAAAAAGTTCATGTGGGTTCACATAAATGGCGAAGGGGGAAATCAGTTCAGTGGTAACTGACTTACAAGCAAAGGATGGTAAATAGCTATTATTACTTTTGGCCACAGCAGTCAGTTAATGAGCCCTCACAGAGGGGTATGCTGAGCCAGGTAACAGGCTATATGGAGAACTGGACCTGGGGGATCTACCCTGGATAAGTACACCATGCCTGGAGAAAACATAACTTTGGGGAGATTAACTGACAAGAGCTGGAGGGTGGGGCAAAAAGGTGGCCAGCCCACCAACCACTGGAGGGCTTTTTGGGAGAAAGGGCCCAAACCATGGCTGGGTGAAGAAAGCTTTCTAGACAAGTGAGCATCCATGACCAACAGTGTGGGGAATGGCACGGCATGTGGGTGGGACAGAGAAGGGCAGCCTGAGGAGGGAGGCAACAGTCCCTGCCAGTGAGGGAGTAAGAATGTGGGGAAAAGGGACTCCATAGGGTGAACAGATGAGATGCTGGAAGGTACACCGAGGGCTCTGAACAGGGCAGAATGTGCTAGAAGCACTGTAGGAATCTTAGCCTCATTTCTTAAAATTTGCAAGACTGGGCTTCTGAGAAACACCTGTCTCCAGGACAAAAACCAGTTCTGTCAAGGTAGAGGTGAGAACCCAAAATGAAGCTCAAAGCTGGGTTGTCAAACCCTTTGCAGCCTCCTGGAGGAAGCTGTGATTCACTGCAGCACAGCTTGAAGCCAGGGGAAGAAGCCTCACTGGCCAGCACAAGGTGAAGGGCTCTGCAGGAAATCACCACACTTTAGAATGCAGAAAGCAACCTGAAGTGGTGGGAACTCCTGGATGACCTCGTAGATGGTGTAGATAGTCTCGGCAGTTGGCAGAGAGCTGTTGGTGGTGGAAGTGACGATATCAAATGCACATTCCAGAAGTTCTTTGGGATGAAATCGGTCTAACTTGCGAGGTCTGAACACCCGTTCTATGCAGTATCTGGAGGAAGAAATCAGTGTTCTCAGGTCACTGATAACTGGAAACAAGCATGCGTGAGGAATTGTTGAACAGGAAAAAAGAAATGAAGATGAAAAAGTCCGTGCTGTGATCAAGAAGGTTCAAAGTCAGGTTTGAACCAGGACAGTGGCCTGTGGTCTATCCTAGTTCCACTGTTGCACTATTAAGTGGAGTTTCATTTTCTAAAATGTCTGAAAGGGAAACAAAATTACAGGAAAAAAGGAAAACCAAACAATTTTACCTTAAGTGATTGCTTTCTACATAGAAGTGCCCACACCTTAGGACTGACTAGTAATTGCTCACTTGTAGCTTGAAGGAAAACACACAAAGAGCTGTGGTTCTGCTTGGAGAAAGCTGTAAGCAGATGCCTTGCTAATAGCAATACGGCTCCTATTTGTGAAGATCTAGGTGTTTGCCCCCTATGGTATCTGAACCAGCAGAAAAACCTTTTCTGAGTGCCAAGTGCCTGAGCCCCTTGGAGCTTGGTGCGCCTGCTAGACTGCTTATTTCTCTGTAGGAAGCTTCTGTTCAGCTATCTGTGTACACACATTTCACACAGAGGCACTGGCCACTTGTCCCTCCAGTAAACTTTAAAAGGGGCCATCTGAGATCAAGAACAGTCAGATGTTTGTTTCAAGCAACCATTTGTAAAAAATAATTAGTTGTGTTGCCCGAGGACATGTAGAAAAGCAGTGAATTGATGGCAGGACTGCCAGGTGCTTTCTTCCTGAAGATAAGATGTCAGCAGATATCCTAGTTGCCAGAGACAAAGGAGCACTGGGGGTGGGCACCCTGACCACATTCTGCTCACTACTGCAATCCTAGAATTCCTCCCTGGGTAAGGATTGTAGAGGATAAAATGTTCTCCTCTGGTTTCTTTCCTTCATCTACCACATGCAAGGGAACATAATGTTTCTTACCTTTTTAAATTCAATATGTTATTTCTTGCCACATATCTTGCAAAAGGGACCTGAAAAAAGGAAGTTTAAAAGATATGTGTCAAGAAGTGCCAGCTATGACATTCTTTTAGTTTGTTTTTTAAAATAGCTTACTCAGCTATAACTCACCTTTTTTTTTATATTCACGTAGATTTTTAAAAATTATTTATTTAATAACCACATACTTAGAAGAAGCATTTCATTACATCAGCATTAACATAATCAACAATAATTTTCTGAGATAGGCTGCATCTCTTACAAAATTGGCTCTACATTTTTAGGTTTACAGTTGAATTATTACAGTTATGCAATATTGTACTCAGTATAAACCCTATAAGACATAAAATTAAATGAGGTTTTAACCTTTAAAAAAGATCTCCATTGCATTATTAAAATACAGAGTTTCAAGCAGAAAAAGATTTTTAATACAATTGACACTA